TTAAAAGTGCTGGGTTTTGACAAATAAATCATCACTGTTATGCCAAATCCTGCCATTAGGATGGAAGAGGGATGACGCATGCCTGTAACTCCGGCTCTTGGGAGGCCAAGGTGGAAAGGTTGTGAATTCTAAGGCAGCTTCGGAGACAGTGAGTTTCAGGCTGCTATGGACAGTGTGGTCCATAATACCATGTATCAAAGGGGAAAGAAGGAGAAGAAGGATGCGGCTATGATGGGGCCCCTGGGAGGCAGATGCAGGAGGATTACCATCTCCAGGGCAGCCTGAACTACATGCGGATGTGCTGTCAGAGAGAGACGGACAGACAGACAGAGGGACAGAGAGGATGGAGGAGGAGCAGGACAAGGAAGAGGAAGAGGAGAAATGGCTGCTGGCCTTACCAAGTCCTTTCTACAGGCAGGTGCTGTGCTCGCCTGTGGCTGCTAGCATGGCTCCCTCTGCCTCACCGCACACACGTCATGTTCTAAGATTTCCTGTCTCTTGAGCCCCCGTTCTGCAGTTTCCTCCTTCCCCATCTGTCACCACACCAGTGGGACAGGCTGGGATCGCAGCCACTCCAGGTAACAGGGCCAGGCCGTGGGTCTAGTGTGTGTTGTCAGGGACTCTGCTCCACATAGGCGGTCTCATCACAAAAAGCGCAAGTGAGTTCCACTCCAGCTCTTTGTAATCCCTGCCACACGTACGCACACTCTTCTCCTTGTTGTTCACCTTATTAATGGGGTGCTCACATCCGGAACAGAGTGATTCTAGCAGGTGCCTGCAAGGAGAGCTGCGAGACTCAGCATCAGCTCCAGTGACCACCATGATCCAAACCAGCTCCTAAATAGCATCTCCTTTTCCCTCATCAAGAAAATGTTTCTCGGGGCTGGGAATTTAGCTCAGCGGCATAAGTGCCTGCCTTGCAAGTATGCGGTCGTGAGTTCGATCCCTGGTACCAATAAAAACTAAAAAGACAAGAAAGAAAATGTTTTTCTCTTCTTGAAGGAGAGGCAACTCAGAAAGTCACCCTATCCTAGCCTCAAGGTCAGGGTAGTGTACAAATGCATACACAGTTGGGCTTCTCTATCCGTGGTTTCCCCGCTCCAGTTTCGACCATCTGTTATGGAGCAAATACATGGGAACCATCCCAGGAAGTTCCAGAAGAAACAAAATTTGCACTTCCTGTACACTAACCATGATGCCACACCCACACAGGGAAGCGATCTGTGGATGGAATCTGCCCTGGCCTCTGTGGGCCTTAGTATCTCCAGACTTGTTCAAACAGAGTTGTTCATCCGGGTTCATTCGTCTATTGTATGGTTAAGCGTGTGATTGCTGGATCTTTACAGAACATGGCAGATGTTTTTGACCATTCCATAAACAATAAAATGCAGCAAATATTTACATACCATTCCATTGCACTTAGTATCATGGGGTATCCGTGAAGTTTAGGGAAGGATTTCGGTAGCCTGTGCCATTTTATATAAGGAGGTAGAGCATCTGCACATTTTGGCAATTGTTGGGATTCTGGAACCAGTCCCTGGGTTTACTGGAGGATGACCACACATGCCCACATGCCTTGATCAAAACACCGTCTGTACATGACTCCCTGCGTTCTGCTGACCTGTACCCTCCGAGGAACAGGTAACTACACCCCTGTCCTCCCTCCATGTGCTGTGTGTACCTAGGCTGGGATGGAGTTGGGGTGCACTGTCGCTGGTTTTAACAGCTGTGGTACCTGGGAAGATCCTGAGTGGGCTCCCACAGTAATTCTGTTTCCTAGGCAAGTCTTCTGTTCCCTCTCTGACTCCTAACAATAAACAATTTTGGTATTTTAAGAGGGCATTGGAAAATCAGCCTCCTTTGGAGGCAGGGTGTTGTTTATCAAAGACACAGCAGAGTCTCATGTCCTCCCTTGTCCTTCTGACCTACGGTTCTGTCCATCTGCAGCTGTCTTCTCAGCGTGACTCTGAGTTCCTGTACCTGTCTTTGCTGTTGTAGGTGCCCGCACCCTGCTTTCACCTTCCCTGTTTCTCTCTTAAACAAAAGGGGCCATTGTTTCCAGGATCCTGTCCAAGACCAACCTCAGCAGATTCCCGGCTTCCATATGTAAATGGCTGAGTGTTTGCCTGAGAACTCTGCAGTCTCCCATGTAGAACGTACGTTCTGTATAAGTTGTTATACTGTGTTGTTTAGGGGATAATGACAAGCAAAAGTCTGTACATATTCAGCACAGATCTAATTTTTTAAAATACATTTTCCATCTGGAGTTGGTTGACTCCATTGATGTAGACCCTGAGGATCAGAGAGCTGACTGCATGGGAAACTTGGCCCTGCCAGCTTTGATGGGACTGCAGCACCTTCATTTTTTTCTTGAGTGCTACTTTCATAATTAAAGATTTTATAGGGTGATAGCTTAATCCATTTACAGGTTGGTGATGGCTGACTTTTTTCTGCAGAGCTGCTGAAATAGGCGTTGGGCACTGCTGGCAGCTCTAATAAGCCTTTCCTGATGGGATGACAAGGCTTTGCCTCTCCCAACCCTCTCGGGCTCCGAGTTGGATTTCTCTTTCTCTTTTCTTTTATAATTGCTTTCAAAGTGCCTAATTCCATTATGAGAAATTTCTTTCCTTGATAACTTTCCAAGCGCAGCCATTAGCAGTCAGCACATTGCTAGTTAACATTCCTTTTCAGTTTCTGCTGAAAGAGCTCCATGCTCGTTTGACATATGTTCTGCCTTGTCACAGGTGTTGGGTTTGCCGAGCCTTTCACCATGCATGACACCAGCCTGCAGGCCAGTTGTGTGTCCATCAGTAAATGCAGAGTTGAGTAACAGAGAATGAGGTCTGTGGACCTGAACACACGTGTGTCTGCACGCACACACCAACACACAGTTCTTCTCAGACCCTCCTTCTAGGTGTAGCTGTAGTTTTGGAGTCAATTAAGGAGAGGTACATACACATTTTGGAAGACACTCGAAGAACAGAAACCACTAATCTGCAAATTTGAACTTCTGAGGTGGCCGCTGTGGTGATATCTTTCTTATCACTGAGACACAATACCGGATGCCCACACGTTTAAGGTTGGAAAGGTTTATTTTGGCTCACAGTTTGTGGAGGTTTCAGTCCATAATCCATTGGCTGCAAAACAAAGCAGCATGGCAGAGGGAAAGCAGCACATGGACTGTCAGCAGAAAACAGAGAAGGATAAAAAGAGAAAGGAAGGTGACAGCCCTTCCAGGCCATGCAGCAGTGACACCTCCTGCAACCAGGCTTCACCTCCAACCCCACAGTATAACCTCGCCAGGGGAGGAATCCACTGCTTAGTGTCACACCCCATGAGCATCCTCCTGTGAGCACATGAGACTTCAGGGGGTCATCCAGGCAGAAACCCTAACAGCTGAGTATCACACACCTCTCTATATGGGGAAGAGCCACACTGATTCCAGGCGTGGATAGAAGTTCTTGGGTAACCTGCTCCCTGAGATGACCCCCGGGTTGCTCTCTCCCTGGCTACTCAAATACTTGTGCAACATCAGCTTCTCGGCACCACAGTTTCTCTTCCACTGAATACTTGAATGCTATCTTAGTTCAGTTCCTTTAGCCATAATACAGTACTTGAGACTAGGTCACTCAAAATTAGATCAGAGTTTTCTTTGGCTCACAGTTCTGGAGCCATCTAGGCCAAGAGGTGGTGGTGCTGGCACCCTCTCAGCCCCACCCTTAACTGTAGTTAGCACCCAAAGGCCCCAACTTTGAATGTGCACAGTATATGAATTTGGGTTCCTAGCTCATGCAGCTTTATGAGTAGCTGCCTTTTGTTCTCTTAAACAGAGCCCTAAGTGATAAGTTAGCCATATTTTCTGCATAATGCATGTGACTTCTGGACCCCATCTATTTCTGAGCTATCTGTTTCTGCAAGGCCTTTCTTCCCTGGCTAGAATGCAAGCTCTGTGAGGCCAAGAGTTTTCTTTCTCACATGCTGCTGAGCTGCTGCTGGTTTGCAGGCCCTGGCAGAGTCAGTGCAATAAACAACAATGAGTGAACCCATCAGTAAAACAGTGCGAGTTGCATCATAAATCTGTCTGTTGTAATACTTAGGAAGGTTCTTTAACTGGAAACTCAGCAATAAGGAAGTTGATGGGAATTCCCGATCGTTCCTGAATTCTGTAATCCTGAAGTATCTCACACGTAGTGGGAGCTATGAAAATATTAGAAATACTGAAGTCTCTAGGGATCAGTCTCTCCATTCTTCGTATCCTGGATAATCCTTTACACTGAGGTGAGAGAGTAGTCTCAGAGGTGGGCCCATCTGGAGATAGTCTCTAGGTCCTTCTGTGATATCAACCATTATCTGATGGCCACTGCAGTGTCCTCTTGGCACTGCAGGCCTGTAGCCTTCAGGGCTATGCTTTTGCCTCTGTCACTGGAAGGCCTGCACCTGTCTGTGGGGTCAGCAGCTGGCTGGAGCACTGTCCTCTCTGTACCGCGGTTCTGTGCTCTTGCTTGATTTACTGACTTTTCTGGTATTTGGTTGTATTATTTGCGCTCTTCTGAATAACAATAACTATTATTATATAAGCTACTATTATAGATCACTGTGCTCATGCTATATAGTAGAGTTTGGTGTTTAATTACTTCCCTTTGCTTGATAACACATTAGGAGGTAGACGTGATTTCCCTGGTTTTACAGAGCACAGGCGCTCACAGACTGCACTGCTCATCAGGGCTGGCACTGGGGGGGAACAGTCTGCTGCCTCATTCAGCTCCTCCTCCTGCTTTCTGGAACCTAGCATTATATTCCATTGCATGTTTTTAAACTGCTGACCTAGCATGTTGGCTCTCATCTGTGTCACACCAGGCAGCGTCTCAATCCCTAACAACAGGAGGAGTGACAGGTGGGCGTGCAAACACGGAGGAACCCAGACTTGGGACAAAGAAAATGAAGTGTGTGGAAGGAACTCACTAATAGAACTGCCGTGCCTCTTCTTTGCTGTGTTTCAGGAATACCAAATCGATATATTTTTTGCTCAGACCTGGACTGACAGTCGCCTTCGGTTCAACAGCACCATGAAAATACTTACTCTGAATAGCAACATGGTGGGCTTGATATGGATCCCAGACACAATCTTCCGCAATTCTAAAACTGCAGAGGCCCACTGGATCACCACCCCCAATCAGCTCCTCCGAATCTGGAACGATGGGAAAATTCTTTACACTTTAAGGTAAGATGCCACATGGTGGTTCTTTAAAAGTTTTAATCGACATATAACATTTATGCATGCCTACCAAGTGCAGTGTGAGGACACAGTGCATGGACACAATGCATATTGATCAGAGCAGGATGGTTGGTGTTTGTATGTCCACCAGTGGCTCTCATTTCCACATGATGTTTGGAATTTTTGGACTCCTCTAGTAATTTTGAAATGCATCATAAATTATAGACTATTACACTATAAAACGAATTCCTGCTGTGTATGTGGCTCTTTATTATGGTCTAATTTTAGATCCTTAATTTAAATTACTATTGCCATGAGACCCTAGTTTTAGCTCAAAGTTATACCCTTTTTCGTGTTTGACATACTAGATAGCATCCTAAAAGCATTTGTTCTGGTGCCACCTGTGTGAAAATGAAAGCAGGTAGATAATCTGTGACAAGTGCGAAACCATCCGTTGGTCAGAATTTATTTCTGCAGGAAGACAGTTTTGAAGTCATCTTTCTTATATTTTATATATTTAGCCCCTTGTGTCCACTCAGCTGGGAACACAGAGAAGGGCTTGAGTCTGATCTAACATATGAGCAATTGTCAAACTGACATTGTCCAGCATGCACAAGACCCTGAATTTCATCCCTAGTGCTGCAAAAGGGATGTAAAACAAATCTGAGATCACAGGGGCAGCAGGTGCAATGGGCACATCCCTAGCTGAAGTGGGACTGCTGTGCAGGTCCCCCTGAAGGTGGGGTGGTCCTCGCAGAAACCCAAGGAAGTGGCAAATTGTGCTTCAGAGGAATCGCTTGAGTTACCAGAATCCCTGCAGCGGATTGGCGGGAGCAGAGCTCCCCACCTAGCTGAACCTTGGCAGCCTAACTGAGCGGAAGCACACTGCACACTGCACCGCACCACTGATCCTCCTCTCTGGAAGCCATGCCACCTGTCCAGTGCCAGGCCCAGGATGGCGTCCAGTGGCATGGAACTCCAGAGAGCACTTCCCGGCTCACCCCAAAGCGCTGTGCGCTGCCTGTCTGTGTTCCTGTCTCCAGAGGCACATGCACCCTCCCTTGCCTTGAGGCTGCGTGTCCCCATCCTGCCCTTTCTGCCTGCACCTGGCCTCTGTCACGTCCCATTTTCCCCTTGGTGAGGCTCATCCATCCCTGGGACTCAAGGGCAGACTCCTGTGTGCCAGAAAAGCCTTCTAAACTCCAGGTTCCTGGAGCTGCATTCCTGTTCCTGCAGGCTGAGAGGCGTTTTGAACTCAGCCTGGCTCAGGGGCTGTCACACTTCCTTGCTTCTGCTCAGTGTCCTCCCAGCTCCTGGAGGCCCCCCAAGCTCCCTGCAGCGCTCTTTTTTCCTCATCCCACACACAGGGCCAAGAATTTTTAATTACAGGCGCTCATGGTCCTGAGCAATCTGTGGCTCCCCATGTCCAGCAAGTGTCCAGAGCATTAATGTAAATACAGACACCGTCAAAATCAGCCAAGCTAGGAGAACAGTAAAGTTCAGGGAAATAATAATTTTGCCCACAGGGAACAACAACAATAATAATAATTTTTTAAAAGCTACAGCAGGGAGGTTGGCCGTGAAATACACTGAGTGAGCTGGGATCTGTGACAGGTGTGTCACTGGTCCTAGAGCAACCAAAACAAGATTCTGAAGTGAAGCTGACCTCACAAAACCTGCGTGAAGAACAGAGATGCAGCTGGTCCTGGGATTCTCAGTAGGAATCCTGTCTCTAGCTTTGGAAGGGTACAGTGGACTCACTTAGTAGGGCCATGGCCTGCTGCTCGAAGGCCAGGGCATTGTCCAAGCAGGACGTCCCTTACCCCATCCAAGTGGGTTGATTTTGGCATAACACCCATTTAGACAAACATGCCAGTTTCAAAGGGAGGAATATTTCATTAAACAGATTGAAAACAACAACTTATTAAACAACAGTTGGTTTATTTCCTCCTCTCTGACTTGGCTTGGATTTTAGGCACAGTTGGAATTTTACTAATTGGAGTTCTGTCTACTACTGATAGTTAAAAGCAACACAAAATAAACAATTGAAAAGCAACCAAGTGGCCGCACTGAGTTAAGGCGGTGCCCAGGACGGACCCAGCTTCCGGGCCTGCCTGCCCTCCCACTTGCTGCCTTGCGGGACCTTAGCCACCCTGCGGCCCGCCCAGGTGCCTAGGCCGCGCTGTTGTCCCCGGAGTGACTGTGGCTCTCCTGCAGGCTCACCATCAATGCCGAGTGCCAGCTGCAGCTGCACAACTTCCCCATGGACGAGCACTCCTGCCCGCTGATCTTCTCCAGCTGTGAGTACCAGCCTGGGGTCCAATGCTGGGTGGGGTCCACGGCCCTGCGCTGGCTGCTGGGAGAATCACCTGATGGGAGATGGTGGCGCTAAACAGCCACCATGGTTTTAGAGTTGGTGACCTGGGTACTTTTACACTAGAGTTTGTTACATAGGCCTCGTGTTTCACACAGCTGTGGCAGAATGCTCAGCAGCTTAGCTGTGCACGGTAATGCGCACAAAGTCAGAAATTCATGATCACTTGATGAGCTAAAGGCTTCCGTGCTAATGAGCCCTAAATATTTGGAAGTACACAAAAATCATTTTGTGTATTTTTATGTTTATTATTTTAAGGACAGATGATCTGTCTTCTATACAAGAAGATAAAACATTTCCCTTTAAGTAGATTATATTGTCTCATGGAATTATTCCAAGATAAAATTTTTACAGTATTTTATCTTCAAATGTTTTATTACCAATAAATTATTAAATTTATCATAGCTAGCAATCTTCTGTAAATTCTTAAAGAGAATATCTAATATTAAATGCAAGAGTAGGTATAAAGTGCAATATCAAATATCAAATTTATTTGCCTAGAAAGCTTTCAGTAAAGGTCAGTATGGAAATATATCTGTTGAATTGAAAAAGGTTCATTTAAATGTATTAATCACAAGTACTTCCGAATGAGACATAAAAATTCAATTAACTTTACTCGGTCTTTTAAAAATTATGTGCAGAACATTAGAAATAAACTTAGTGAAAGTCAGACATCTTTATGAAACAAGGAATGACCACATGTGACAGCTCACTCTAGGTTAAGAAAGAACACAATGGAAAGCAAAATGTCACTTGCTGATCTAGCCGAGGTAAAAATATTCTTATATACAGAACAGTTTAATTACTTGAATCTTATATATGTTGACAGCACCAATGGTGAATAACTATCAAGGGGACACAAGTGTCGCTAAACTTTTATGTGGAGTCAATTGATCTGGGTTTTCTTTCTTTATTTAAAAGTTACACAACTAGCTAGGGATTTAGCTCAGCAGCATAAGCACCTGCCTGGCAAGTGCGAGGTCATGAGTTTGATCCCTGGTACACAAAAAAGTTATACAACTGACCGTCTTATCTAGTGTTTTGTGTGTTAGTTTGGGGTGTGTGTGCAGGATGTTTTTGACTCATTTGTACATTCATAGTTCATTGATGAATCCGAGTAGTTCATTGGTTACCCAAGTTACTGAGTGTGTAGCTTCGGTGATTGGAATTTCGTTATTGGATATTTAGTTCTGTTGCTTTTCTAATCTTTAATGCAATCTTGCCAGTCACCATATTTCCAATGACATCTTTTATTTAAATGTTCAGAAATACTGATGTCTTTGCGGGAAGGATCTGCACAATTCGTTGCTCAGCTACTCACTAGTTTGACCTCATGTTTCCTGAGACTTCCTTCTGGCTGAGTCTCACATCTAAGGGAACTTCTTAGAATAGCTTGTTCTACCCCTCCTGATGACTGTTATCACCTCATTATTGTTTTTTTTATTCTAATTTATCAAACTAAGTAGCGCTAACAGTTTACCAGAGCCACTGCCACAGTACCTGGAGTTTCAACTCACTGATACTCAGTGTGAAGTTGATGCATTAATTTCTTTTTAAATCCCCATTATTGAAGTATAAATGTTATGCAGTAAAATTCAGTGAATCCAATGAAGAAAGTTCAATGAACATTGCATATGCCTGTGTAAACAGCAGTACATGCAAGACTTAGACGGTGCCCATCACCTCTAGATTGCTCTCTTCTGCAGCTTTTTTGAGGAAAGATCCTGGGGACGGAACGCAAGGCCTGGCATGTCCTAAGCACCCCTTCTACCCCTGAGCTACACCCCTAGTCCCTCTGTCACATCTCTGCAAGCAATTACCATACCCTTTGTCATGGTAATCGCTGATTTCTCTCTGTTACCACAGATTAATGGTGTCTTTTAGAATTCTGCATTTCATGCCTGACTTCCCTCACTGAGCAGAATGTCTTGAGATTCACTCCTGTTGGCACACATACCAGTAGTTGATTTTTCTATCACTTTAAATGAAAGTCTACGCCTGGAACCTGGGCCATATAGATGGTGTGAATTTCAGCTACATCCGTGCCTTTGTGACACAGCTTGGTGGTTACACACTCTTAGGGTGGAAAAGTAATATTTTGCCTTTACATTGTCTCCATAGCCAAGGCTGATCAGGGCATCTCCTTTTAAGGAGAGCTTCTTATCAATACCGCCATCCTAGGAACCAGGCCTGGTCCTCGTCCTATGCTTTGCTTGTGGGGATGCTTATGGGGAGCCAAGGCTCGGCAGCAGAGCCTGGCACAGCCCTTGTGTGCCAATGCAGATGCCCTGCTTGAAATTCTTACCTCTTCAGCCCTGATGGTTTCCTTCACTCCATCATAATTTAAAAATATGCTTAAATATTTCACAACCCCTTTTAAGTTCTCTGTTCTTGACACTGATTAGCTGCATGTGAGATGTGCAATCTTGCTCTAAAGAAAAGAGATTGTAAATTTGAGAATTTAAAGTAATTTAAATCCTTAAAGAGAACTCATATAACAAGCATCAGTGAGGTAAATACTACCTAAAATCGTAGCTATCAATAATGCCTTTCTGGACTTGGTTGGCTTTAGCGTGGAATCTAATCTTAGGAAAATGGTCTGTGAGAAAAAGTTCACTTACATCCACACCTCTGGTGTGCTATGGTAGTAGGGTTAGCACAGTGAATGTAAAACCCAGGTCAGAAAGAGTCTCATATACAGTGTCAAAGGGGGCACTTTTAACTACATGCAAACCTAAGCTCAGTTGTCTGGAAATCAGATAATACAGTAATCACAGATTTTTGGCAAAAACATAAAAGAAGTATTGTAAGAGCAAAGCTGGATATTGGCCACCACCCACCACTAGATGGGTCAAAATTGCAAACACTGAAAACTTCACATCTGTGAGCCTGTGGGACCACGGGACTTCTCATTCATTACTGCTGGGAATGAGAAATAGTATAGCTACTGTGAAGGCCCCCTGGGTAATTTCTGACAAAATTAAATGTATTTTCACCTTATGAATCAGAATTTTGATTCACTCTTTGGTGTTTCTCCAAATGAACTAAATTTATACAGAAACCTGTTGTAGCAGCTTTCTTCATAAATGCCCACATTTGGAAGCAACCATGATGTCCCCTGTAAGCGACTGAGTCATTTTCCTCATGGCTGGGACAAAAGCTGCTGCACTTGAAGGAGTAGCGGTTCATGTTAGAGACTGGGTCGTCGGCTGGCTGCAGGGCAGAAGCTGCCTGGGGAAAGGGCCTGCCTTACGGGCAGGGGATGATCACACATCACAGTGGTCAGGAGGCAGAGAGGGAGGGAGGGACTGGGCAGGGAGGTCCACTCTTGGAGGTCACGCCCTCAGTGACAGCCTCCATCCACCAGGGCCTGCTCCTCACAGCACCGTTAGCCTCTCAGTGATCCATTCAGCTTTAAAGGCCTTGTCCCTGGGCTCGTGAGGCTCTTGGGGGACGTCTAATATAAGCCTGGACGGCAGGTGACTGGAGGAGTGAACTGTGGGAGTCTAGCTATGCCAATATTATTTAGCACTGAAAATGAGCTATGAAACCACATGGAGGGAACTTCTGTGCATATTCTAAGTCAAAGAAATCGAACTGAAAAGTCAACATACTTTGGATTCCAACTTCAGGACATTCTGAAGGGGACAAAAGTGAGGATACAGTAAAGAAATTGGTGACTTTTAGGAGTTAAGGCAGGGAGAGGTGAACAAGTGGGAAATAGAAGGTCTTTAAGAGAGTAAAGGTACTCTTCCTGGTGCTGGAGTCATGGATGTGTGACCCTGTGTATTTATTTGGGTGGTGTGAGGGACGCACCAAGCATGAGCCCTAATGTAAACCACGGGCAAAGGCTGGACGATGTGTCTAAGTGGGGTCACTGAGTATGGTGATCACACTGCTCTCGTGGGGCTGTGGACAGCTGGGAAGGCTGTGAATGGAAGAAGGAAAGGTGCATGGGAACTCTGTGCTTTCTGCTCAAACTTCACAGTGTGCCTAGAGCAGCTTTTAAAGAATCCAGTCAAAAAAATCTTGCAGTAGAGCAGTACGAGTCTATTCAAGTCATAACTGAGAATGCCCTGCGGAGCCATTCTATGAAATAAAAATTAACTGGGAATCCCCAAGTATAACACTGTGCATTAAAATATGAATTTACCAAGCTACTTTACATGTATGAAATTCATTCATCTGTGTAGGATTATCTTTTTAATAAATGAGAATAATGGCACTTTATGAAAACATGTCTTTATAATTTAGAGCTATGAAGCACAATTATATCTGTATCAGCTCAATGTGTAATTTGTGTCTACACTGTGGATTTGTGTTATCAGGAAAATGCTGGTCATGATACTGATGAGCAATTGAGAATGCAGTGGAGTTTCTGTCTTGCATGGTACTTTTTAGTTAAATATAATCAGAAGCTTATGTTTTTCCATTTAAAAATTGAAACAATGCAAAATTGAACAACTATTTTCTGTCATACAAATAAAAGCTGGGGAAACTTCCCAGCATGTATAGAAAGATTTAGCATGATCACTGAAGTGATGGTAACATCTTTTTACTTCATAGACAGCTATTTCTCAGGGTAAAAGCTTCACACAATGAGCTAGGATTAAATGTCATTTTTGTGCAAATGTGTGTGGTAGTAAATTCCCTAGCAGAATGCTTTTACCTGAGTAGGCTGACTGTCTGGCAGAGTTGCACAAGCAAATATCTCAAACAATGAAAAATACATAAAATTTTCCAGTATATGCACATATGCACAGTGATAAGGTGATGACATTTGCTATGTAGCATGTTTGTTATTATTGTTAATTAATTGGTTTTGGACCTGGAGATCAAACCCAGGCTTTGCTTGAGAAATTGCCTACAATTCATGTGTGTGTGTGTGTGTGTGTGTGTGTGTGTGTGTAAAATTTCTGATTTATT